TGCCCCCCCCCTTCCCCTCCCCCCCATGGACCACCAGTCCATCATCACCCAGGTTAGCAAGGAGGAGGTGACCGCCCCGCTGCAGGAGAAAGGTAATGCCCCCCTCCTATAAATAATCCGGCATCGGGACCCCCCCACATCCCCTCCTCCTCCCTTCCTCCCTCTGTGGGTTTTGCTTTAGGGGAGGGTCGGGGGGGCTAAATCTGGAAAATCGCTCCTCGGCCCCCGCCGCCGCTGTGCGTCCACCCCCCTCCCTCCCCCTCTTCTCGCTGCATGGCACTATGGGGTACACGATGACAGCCCAGCCTTCCCCCACCCGCTCTGTTTCCTATAGGGCCAAGGGTCAGACCCTTTGCTCCGCGTTGCTCAGGGTCCCCCACGTGCCCCCCCCCCGCTCCCCGTGCGCGGCGACGGGCGCGGAGTGTGTGATGAGTTGCGGTTGGCCTCAGCTGGAGTGCGGCCCCGCGGGGCTGCGTGCACCGGGACGGGGCCGCGGGGAGACGGGAAGGGGGTTTCGTCTGCACTGCTCCACGCGTCATTCCCCGTCTGCGTCCCTCCTGGGGTGATTCGGGGAGATCGGGGCGGGGGAAGCGCCGCGGGGAATCTGAGGCACGGAGGAACGTGGCTCCGTGGCGTCCCGGCGTGGGATCGCAGGGGGGGCAGCCCCTGCCCCACTGTGGGGGTTCCCAGGGCCCTGCGAGTCTCGGAGGAGCAGAACCATGAGGGTCGGCAGCATCCCACCCCCCGGCAGCATCCCTGCCCCGCTCCCGACGCTCGGGCTGGGGCAGGATCCGGCCGCGCTGAAGGTGTCCGTGCCTCAGTTTCCCTGCGATCCACCAATGGGGGCTCAGGAAACGGCACCCAGCGGGGTGCGCTTCACCGCGATTGGCTCCTCGCCTCCGGGTCGTTTGCACCAGCCAATGAGCAAGCCGAACAGTTGGCGGGGAGGCGGGAAGAAAGATGGCTAGGCCCCTCCCCTTTGGGTCGGCCCCTCCTACAGCACAACCCACGCGTGTCCGTGGGGTCTCAGCACCCCCCGGGGGGTTGCCCACCTCGAGGAGTTCCCCCCCAGATTCAGCAGAGGGCAGCTATTGTAGGATCCTGGTGGTGCCCAGCCCCTATTGTGCTCCCCAATCCTGCAGGTGCCCAGAGCCCCCCGGCCGCTGCCAAGAAGCCTCGGGGCCGCAGCATCCTCCAGTCCCTCTTCTGCTGCCTGTGCCACGATGATGCTGAGCCCTTCTCCGTCAATAACAACGCCCCACTGCTGGTGGAGGAGAATGGCACCGTGCCCAAGGTACCCCCTTCCAGAACTCCTACCCCAAAATGGGGGCGGATCCAGGGGCACTCGATCACCGTGCCCCAGCCCCCTGTAACTAAAGAAGGAGACACTGCTGCCCGACCTGGGCACAAGGCAGAAGGGAAGAGGGTGCCCCTCGCCCCCCCACCGACCCCCTGGCTGTGCCCCCCTGCTGCAGGCTGCGGTCAAGCACCTCCTGCCTGAGATCAAGCCTCAAGATGCCAGCAAGCTGTGTGTGGTCATCGACCTGGACGAGACACTGGTGCACAGTTCCTTCAAGGTGGGAGCACCCCTATTGGGGTGGAAGGGAGGTTTATGGGCCATGGGAGCCCCCTACCCCACGCTGACTCCGCTGTGCTCTCTGCAGCCGGTGAACAACGCTGACTTCATCATTCCGGTGGAAATTGATGGTATCATGCACCAGGTATGGGGCTGTGCAGTGAGGGCTTGGGAGGAGTTTGGGGGTCAGGTGGGGTGCCCCCCAAAGAGGCTGGCGCTGGGTTCAAGTAATCCAGGATAGGCTGTGATCTGGCAGTCAGCCTGTTCTAGGTTACTTGGCTCCGGAGCCCGCCCAACGCTTCACCCTGGAGATGCCAGGGATAGCGGGCACCCCCCTGATTGTCAGCAAGCGGTGTCCCCTCATTCCAGCACAGGGCATGTCTCCTCCCTGCTGTTGACCAGGGTCAGGACGTGGTGCCCTTTGTGGTGTGGGGCTCCACCAGAGTGGTCACAGGGGGGTGGTGCTGGCAGCCCCCATAGGGTTAGGGTTATGTGCCGCTGGGTCCCTCAGTGCCTGTGCCTGTAGGTGTATGTGCTGAAGCGGCCGCATGTGGACGAGTTCCTGCAGCGCATGGGAGAGCTGTTTGAGTGTGTGCTCTTCACCGCCAGCCTGGCCAAGGTGAGTGGCAGCTCCAGTTACCCTGTTGTCCCCTTCCTTGGGCACCATGAGTCCCCTGCAGCCGCAAACCTATGGCATCTCTGGACCTTTGTCCACCTCTGGCCCTTGGTGACAAACCCATGGGCACCTCTGGACACTGGATGTCAGTGGTCCCTTTTGGTGACCACCCATGGGCCCCGCTGGGTCCCCCTTGGCCAACCACCCACTGACCTTGGGACCACCGGACTTTGGCCACCGTTTGTCTCCCTTGCCCAACCACTCAAGGGGACCATTGAACCTTGACAGCCACCTCGATTCCCTTTGCCCACCTGCTGACCTCCCCTCTCCTCGCAGTATGCGGACCCCGTGGCCGACCTGCTGGATAAATGGGGGGCGTTCCGTGCCCGGCTCTTCCGCGAGTCCTGCGTCTTCCACCGGGGCAACTACGTGAAAGACCTGAGCCGCCTGGGCCGCGACCTGCGCCGCATCATCATCGTGGACAACTCGCCCGCCTCCTACATCTTCCACCCCGACAACGCTGTACGTACCCCATGGGGGGGGGTGGTCTGGGTGGTGGCGCAATGGGGCTACGAGGGACGCGAGGTCCTGAGCCAGTGGCCGTGCCCGCAGGTGCCGGTGGCCTCATGGTTCGACAACATGGCAGACACGGAGCTGCTGGACCTGCTGCCCTTCTTCGAGAGACTCAGCAAAGTGGACGACGTTTACACAGTGCTCAAGAAGCAGCGGACTAACAGCTAGTGGTGCCCCAGCGTGGCCGGCAGTGGTGGCCTGGTGGCAGCATCACTGGGGGGCTGCGGGGATCCCGGTGTCCCCCCATCACCTTCCCGTTCCCCGCTGCGATGGTCACGGTGGGTGCTCCACGCAGAAGGGGTGCCCGGGGTGACCCGCTGGGGACATGTTTGGAGGGGTCCCGTCCTCTCGCTGCCCCCCCCTCCCCAAAATGGTTCTCAGGTCCTTTTCCCCTCTGCATCCCCTGCAGTGGGGAGGGGAGTTAAGCAGCTGCTGCTTTCCACTGCCTTTTGGGGGAACCTGGTCCCCACAGTCTTAGTCCAATGGGGAGACTGGCAGCCCAAGTTTGGGTCCCATTGGTCTTGGTGTCACTGCCGTGCCCCCAGCTCTGCCTTCTGTGCAGCTGATAACTTTGGGGAGGCACCACTCCACACACCCCTTTGTGCCTTCTGGTGCCCCCTCCCCACCTCCAGAGGTGCATTTTGGGGAGGCTGAGCCCCTGGTTTTCAATGCCTCCATGTGCCTTGGGACGCCATGTCTGTATGTGTCCCCCCTGCAATAGAGGTGCCTGGGGAAGGGATACAAAATCACCCCCTCCAACCTCACTTTCTTCCCACGGAGGTGGGAATTCTGGTGGCCTCAAACCCCCACTCCCCTCCCACAGTGCCTCCATGGCAATGGGGCCACTCCACTCACCAGCAGGGTTCCCCTGCCTTGTGGGGGGGCCACACGCCCTCTATCCCCATCCCTTCTCAGTGTCACCAAAGGCTGTGACTCCCAATGGGGGTGGCCCATAGAAGCCTTAATGTAATGCCTCACCCCCCCCACCTCTCCATGGCCTTACATGAACCCTGCCCCCCTCCCCCTTGCCGTGGTCTCCCAGCCTCGAGGGGATGGAGGGCTCTCAGGGAGGGGGGCGGACTTTTAAATGGAGGGAGAGCATATCTTTTAGAGTCAATCTATGGACAATGATATATTTTTAAGGGGAGAGAAGCAACGGTCTCCCAAATAATCAAGGGTGCCTTTTTACCGCTGTGCCAGGGAATGGGGGAATCTTTTGGGGGAGGGCTTTTTAACTCTCCGTTACTGTCCGTCCGGCCCCTGCGGTGCTGCCCTTCTCCAAACGCTGGGGGCCAGGGTGAGGGCCTCCCCGGCTCTGCCTATGCCCCCCACCCTGCACCCTGCTCCTGCAGCGGGGTCCCACTCAGCACTTTATTGGCCACATCAGGCAGCACCCATGGGTGCGCCCCTGGGTGTGTGGGGGGGAGGGGGGCTGGAGTTGGGGGCGTGGGGGCGGGGGGGCTGGGGACCAGTAAGTGCCTTGGTGTGATTAAAGCTGTCCAACCCTCCTGGAAATGGGCTGTACTGAGCTGTGTGCGTGCACATGTGTATGCAATCGTGGTCTGTGTGTGCATGCAGGTGTGCATCGTGCACACCTCTCTGCTGTACGTAGGTGTGTGCAAGCCCCATATGCAATGCATACGCCCACTGCAGGGACTCCTGCTTGGGTCTCATTGGGTGCTGCGGGGGACTGTGGGTGCTCCCATACTCATTAAGGTACCAGAGCCCCCAGCACTCGCGGGGAGGGCATAAGAGGGGTTTGGGTGCCTCCCCAGCACAGCCACTAGTGCCCTCTTTGGCCCCACGCCTCTCCTCCTTAATGAAGCCTCTGTCCTCCTCCCCGGTAGCTGTGCTAATTGCTGAGTTTGTTAGTGGCCTTGCGTGGGGCCCGAGGAAGGGGCTCACTGCTGCTGTCCCTTGTGCCACACCAACGGGACACGGGCAGCAAGCGGGGGCTGCGCACCCAGGTAAGGGGGCACTGGTGTGGGACTGCACTGTGGGGTGGGAGGATTTGGGGGGATAGAAGGTGTTGGGGAGCCCACCTCCTTTGCCTCGGGAGTCTCTTGTTGGGTGGCTGAGCCATCACTATCCCTTTGGTGATCCCTGGGGCTGCAAGGGCACAGGGTGCCGCTGGTGGCACAGTGCTGGCTCAGCAGGGTGGGGGCAATCATGCTGTGACAATGCTGTGATAAGCGTGGGATAGGTGACGCCTTGGTGCCAGCGTTCCACAGCCCCTCCTGCACCTCCAGAGCCACCCAAATGCTATCAGGCAGAATTAGGGTGGAAAAGGGCAAGGATGAAAGGGCTAGGGATAGCTCAGCCTCAGAACACCAATTGTTGCTGGAGGAGTTTCAGAACAACTGCATTCTGACTATCCTGGAGAGTCCCTAGTCCCCAAGGTGTCCTCTCTCTGGCCACTCTCTGCTCCAATTGAGGGACCTCTGGCCACGTCCAATCCAACCCATGGGGATCCCCAGCACCAGGCTGGTGATGCCTTGGCACACAGAGAAGCCATGGAATGAAACAGAAAGTGGGTAGTTGCAGGTGGGATCCACCCCATGCTGGCAGCCCCATGCTGGGTAGGACAAATGGGACAATTGCACCTTTCTATGTGGTTGGAGCCATTGCAGGTGGCTCCAACATGGCCCCATAGGTTTTGGTTGCTTTGGATCCCCCATGGCTGGGATTGGGAGCATCTCTGCAGCCTGCTCGGTCCCCATCTCCCATGGGGACATGGCCACTGGGACCTGCCCTGTCCCCTCCCCATGCGTGGGTTGGGGATCGTGGTGGCTCAGTGCCATGGGAAGTGGGTGCCACCCAGGTGTCATTACCCTGAGAGTAATGGGGCTCTGAGGGGAAACCTTGAGGGATGTGGGGACCTTGACTCAAGGTTCTTCCTGCCCTTATATGGTGAACATGGGCTGGGACAGCTGGGGACAAAGGTCTCTTCTCTGCTGGCACCCCAGCACTTCCCCTAGGTACACACACCTTGTGCTCAGCTCTGCGGGGAAGGTGAGGGGCTGGGGATGAGGGGACAGCACATCCCAGTGCCAGTGCTGTAGGTGGCACTGGGATGGGGGGGGGAGAAGAGACCTGCTGGGGTTCACAAGGGGCTCTGTCTCATTGGGGCTCAGAGGCGGTGGGGGGATCAGGAGGAGGACATGGCCCAGCAATGCAGCACAGGGCATGTGGTGTTGGGGTCGTGGAGGCTGCGCATCCATGGATGTGCATACACACCCATGTAGGATGTGATGCCCATGCCATGAGCAGGGACAAAGGGAGAAGGGCCATTGAAGTGTCACCCAGGTGTGGCTTTGCAGGAGGAGGAATGGCTCACAAAGCCTGGCCCTGTGCGCAGGAAGCAGGGGAGGATATGGGAACATGTGGACAGCAGGACACCACGGTTACCTGCTCCCATACACACCTGGCATGGCCCAGGACCCCCACTCACCACCAGGGAGGGGTTGCACCCTGCTCACGTGTCCACAGCCGCCATTCACCCCCCATGGCTTCAGGGGGGTTGACTGCCTGGCTGGCTGCAGGACAGCAGATGGCTGCAGCCCAGCTCTTAATGAGGCTGCCTGCTGTTAACCCTAACAAGGGTGCCGGCAACAGGTCCCCCTGCCTGCAGCCAGCACCATGGTGGAGCTCAGCAAAAAGGTCACCGGGAAGCTGGACAAGACCACGCCGGGCATCCAGATATGGAGAATCGAGGTGGGTCCTGTGGATGTGGGAGGCTTTGGGTTTAGGACCCCTGCAGGCTGCCCTGCTCACGTGTACCTTCTTCCTACAGAACATGGAGATGGTGCCGGTGCCCACTAAAAGCTATGGCAACTTCTACGAGGGGGATTGCTATGTGCTGCTGTCGGTAGGGCTGTGTAGGGACTTGGGGTGCTGTGGGGTGCCCCAGACCTGGGGACACAGGGTGCACGGCTCCTAGCGGGTTCCCCATCCTGCAGACACGTAAGACTGGGAGCAGCTTCAGCTACAACATCCACTACTGGCTGGGTAAGAACTCAAGTCAGGACGAGCAGGGGGCAGCCGCCATCTACACCACGCAGATGGACGAGCATCTGGGCTCTGTGGCTGTGCAGCACCGTGAGGTCCAGGGCCATGAGAGCGAAACGTTTCGTGCGTACTTCAAGCAGGGACTCATGTAAGTTGCCAACATGGGTGTTCTGTTGCTTGCCATGGCTATCCTTCCTGCCTTGCCAGAAGGGTCTCTGTGACAGTGGCAATGGGAAGGCTCCCTCTGCATCAAGAAAAGGATAGATGTCACATTGTGAGTGACATGGTTTCGTGGTTTGGAGGGGATGGGTTGATGGTTGGATTGGATGATCTTAGAGGTCTTTCCAACCCTAAAGATTTTATGATCCCATGGAAAGATCTCTACTCTGGGAAGGGGGATGTTGGCCTGGATTCTGTCTCACTCTGTCAATTACTCATACCAATAATGTTAGTGGTTGCCGTGCATATGGGCAGGAGAATATCCTTGCTGGAGTGGGAAGTGTGGCCCAAGGCTTATGTCATATCCGTGTCCTCTCAGCTATAAGCAGGGTGGGGTTGCCTCAGGCATGAAGCACGTGGAGCCCAACACCTACAACATCCAGCGCCTGCTGCATGTGAAGGGCAAGAAGAATGTGGTGGCTGCGGAGGTGAGACAGGGGATGTTGTCATCCCACAAAGCCTCAAGCAGAATGGGGAGCAGTGCAGACCCTGGTGGGAGGGTTGCTGAGCAGGGAGGCTGTGTGTGCCTGACCCACTCTGTCCTGCTGCAGGTGGAGATGAGCTGGAAAAGCTTCAACCTGGGTGATGTCTTCCTGCTGGACCTTGGCCAGCTCATCATCCAGTGGAACGGCCCTGAGAGCAATCGTGCCGAGAGGCTGGGGGTATGGCGGGATCCGGCTGCTCGGTGCCTCCAGCCCCCATGCTGGGACCTCACCGTTCTGATCCTTTCCCTGGGTGCAGGCGATGACCCTGGCCAAGGACATTCGGGACCGAGAGCGTGGGGGACGTGCGAAGGTTGGTGTGGTGGAAGGTGAGGATGAGGGGGCCTCACCTGAGCTGATGCAGGTCCTGACACATGTGCTGGGGGAGAAGAAGAACATCAAGGCAGCCACAGCCGATGACCAAGTGCACCAGGCGCTCAACAGTGCCCTCAAGCTGTACCAGTGAGTTGCTGGGGATGGGCCATATCTATGGAGGCATCTTGTACGGGTGTGAGGTGTCAGGGTGATACCATGATGTTGGCAGCAGAGAGTCTCACAAGTCCCATCCCTATGGATGGCAAGGGAGAAGGGATGAGGCCACCACAGAGGGACAGGTCCTTTGGGTGCTGTAGGAGCACTGGGATCCCCCAGTGCCAAAGGGGTTGGGACCTAACAGCTAGTACAGAGATGCTCATGCAAATGTCACGGATGCTTTCTAACACAGAGGCATGTCCCCAGTAGAGCTGACTGTCCCCATCCAATCTGACATCCCCTTGTCCCTCACCAGCTCTTCCATGTTTGGGGTGGCAGTGGGGATGGAGATGATGGCAAAGAAAGTGATGGAGATAGAGATGGAAATGGAGCTGCGCCCCCCCAGCCCCACCACCCCCATGGGGCGCTGGGGAAGATGTTTTTCAGAATTGTTTCTACCTTTCTCTCCTCTCTCTGTGTCCACCAGTGTCTCTGATGCCAGTGGGAACCTGGTCATACAAGAGATAGCAATTCGCCCCTTGACTCAAGACATGCTCCAGCATGAGGTGAGATGCTCAAAAGCAGTGCCTATTTTCCTTGTCAGCTTTAACTCAAGTGCCCACCCAAGTGCCTTTTGAAAGATCGAAGCCACCCTAAGGTTTAATGTCTGCTGTCCTCCCCCACTTCCAGGACTGCTACATCCTTGATCAAGCTGGTCTCAAGATCTTTGTGTGGAAGGGAAAGAATGCCAGCAAGGAGGAGAAGCAGCAGGCAATGAGCAGGGCCCTGGTGAGTGCTTGGGGTGGTGGTTTGGGTTTGTTGTTCCCGAGGAGAGAGACTGGGTACTCCATGTCCAGGTACTGGATCTGGCTCCCTTCAGGGCTTCATCAAAGCCAAGAATTACCCGTCCAGCACCAGTGTGGAAACGGAAAATGATGGGTCTGAGTCCGCTCTCTTCAGGCAGCTCTTCCAAAAATGGACTGTTCCCAACCAAACCAGTGGGCTGGGCAAGACCCATACTGTGGGCAAAGTGGGTGAGTGCCACAAGGTGCTGGTCCCAGAGGACTGGAGGGATGCTGAAGGGGTCCCCAAGCCTGGCTCAGTCCTCACTCTTCCCTGCAGCTAAGGTGGAGCAGGTGAAGTTTGATGCCACCACAATGCACGCCAAGCCTGAAGTGGCTGCCCAGCAGAAGATGGTGGATGATGGATCTGGGGAGGCAGAGGTAGGCTGTGGGAAGGAGGTGGAATGAATCTGTGTGCCACGCTGGAAGATGCCATGGGAGTGCAGGTGCTGTGGGGCCAGGAACACAGTGTGACACCATCCCACCAGGTCTGGCGGGTGGAGAACCGGGAGCTGGTGCCTGTGGAGAAGCGGTGGTTGGGCCATTTCTACGGCGGGGACTGCTACCTGGTGCTCTACACCTACTACGTGGGGCCCAAGGTGAACCGCATCATCTACATCTGGCAGGTGAGTCTCTGTCCCCTACCCAGGGCTCATCCTCAGCGGGACAGTGCAGGACAGGGCTACCCACCAGAAGGCCCCATGCACAAATCCCCTGTGGGTCATTCCCTGCCCCTCCACGGCCTTCCCATCCCGCCTACATTCCCAAAGAGAGAATGTCCTGACGCAGGGCCGCCATGCCAGTACGGATGAGCTGGCCGCCTCAGCCTACCAAGCTGTTATCCTGGACCAGAAGTACAACAACGAGCCCGTGCAGGTGCGCGTCACCATGGGCAAGGAGCCGGCCCACCTGATGGCCATCTTCAAGGGCAAGATGGTGGTGTACGAGGTGAGCACGGGGCTGGTGCAGGGTGGGCAAACTGGTGGCTGTGTGACCTCTTCCTATCCCCACTGTCCCCAGAATGGCTCCTCGAGGGCAGGGAACACGGAGCCGGCATCCTCCACTCGGCTCTTCCACGTGCGCGGCGCCAATGAGTACAACACCAAGGCCTTCGAAACACCCGTTCGAGCTGCTTCTCTCAACTCCAATGATGTCTTTGTGCTCAAGACACCCGGCTGCTGCTACCTCTGGTATGGGAAGGTGGGTACGGCCTCGACCAGCTCCTTCTCTTCCTTGTCCTCCAGGGGTTGGGGTGGGCTCAGTGCTGGAGCTGTGCCGCTCACACTGTAGGGCTGCAGCGGGGATGAGCGTGAGATGGGCAAGATGGTGGCTGACATCATCTCCAAGACTGAAAAACTGGTGGTCGCTGAAGGGCAGGAGCCACCTGAGTTCTGGGTAGCTCTGGGCGGCAAGACGAGCTATGCCAACAGCAAGAGGTACGAGCTCTGTGTCCCCAGCCCCTCAATGGATTCTCCTAGTGCCCCCAGTTCCTTGGCCAGTTACCATCGCAACCATGTCTCCCCACCAGGCTACAGGAGGAGAATCTCTCTATGCCACCCCGGCTCTTTGAATGCTCCAACAAGACAGGCAGGTTCTTGGCCACTGAGATTGTCGACTTCACCCAGGATGATCTGGATGAGAATGACGTTTACCTTCTGGACACTTGGGACCAGGTGTGTAGGGAATAGAAGGGGGGATAGAAGGACTTGTCCTGTTGCGGACAAGCTTATGTCCCCAACAGGATGAAGGACCTGCAGCAACCGGAGGTGGTGGGATGGGAGCATGGAAACCCAATCCACATGGTTTTCATTGAGGATGGGCTCCCAGCACCCATCCCTGGGGACAGATTCTGTGTCCCCAGCCACCGGTGAAGGGCCAGCCCAGTGCTGGACATGGTGGCCCCATTGCAGATTTTCTTCTGGATCGGGAAAGGTGCCAATGAGTCAGAGAAGGAGTCTGCAGCAGTGACAGCACAGGAGTACCTGCAGAGCCACCCTGGCAGCCGTGACCTCGACACCCCCATCATTGTGGTGAAGCAGGGCTACGAGCCCCCCACTTTTACCGGCTGGTTCATGGCCTGGGATCCCCTCTATTGGAACGTGAGTCAGGGGGTGGGGGTTGGAAGTAGTGAGGAGACTTCTGGAGATGGGGACAAGACTGGATGTAGCCCCAGCTGAGCAATTCTGTTCCTGCAGGACAAGAAATCCTATGATGAGCTGAAAGCTGAGCTGGGGGACAACGCCAGCATTGGGCACCTTGTGTCAGTGAGTGTCACAGGAAGAGTTGGGACAAGAGGGGACCCTGAGTAACACATGGCACAGCAGCAGGGGAAGGGATTACTGGTGCCTTTGGCAGGCGGCACAAGAAGCTGCAAGAACATTTTCACGTGAAGGGACAAAGGTGTCAGTCCCCTAGAAGGCAGCCTGGTAGCTGTTCATTATGTGACCTTGTCCCTCCCCACCAGGGGCTCACTTCCAAGAATGAGATCTTCACAGCCACCACCACACTCGTCCCCACCAAACTGGAGATCTTACCATTGGATGTGCTGGTGAACACTGCAGCTGAGGACCTGCCCCGGGGCGTGGATCCCAGCAGGAAGGAGGTGAGCTGGGGGGGCTTGGGGAGGCCATGGCTGGGGGAAGCCCTGTGGCTTGAGCTCAGGCTCCTCCTTCCCCAGAATCACCTCTCCGACGAGGACTTCATGGCTGTTTTTGGTATGACCCGCTCTGCCTTTGCCAATTTGCCCTTGTGGAAACAGCAGAATCTCAAGAAGGAGAAAGGACTCTTCTAGGAGGGGAGGCTCAGCCCACAGCCATCCCAAGCAAGCACATTATTTTTACTAAATAAAATGGATTTGGAATGGGGCTTTGTGTGCTTCTCTGCCCACCCCAGCACCTGCAGCTCAGGACTAAAGGTCTCATACACAGCCCCAGGGCACTCCCTCTGTTATCAGTGAACTCATGCATAAAACTCAGTAAATAGTTGGCAGTATCAAAGGTAAAAGCGACAAGCCATGGCACGGGAAGCACAGGGACAGCAGGCATGGGGCAGGGCCCGGGGGGGGCAATAGGGGAGCAGAGTCACAGAGGCAGCGACGGGGGGTGCAGCCCATGCCCTACAAGGGTTTTAGAGTGCTGTCAGATGGACTGGGACAGGCAGCAATAAGATTTCAAACCAAAAGAGGGCTAATAAAGGTTTTAATTTCACAAAAAAAAAAAAAAAAAAAAAAAAAAAAAAAATCTATCTACACATTGTTTAAAAGGCAGGGGGAGGGAAACATGAGCAAAATCTGTAAAGAATAAGAGAGGAACAGGTCTGCTAAAACACAGAGAAAAGCTGCTCCACATCAACAGTGTAAAGAACCAGAAGTCAGGCTGCAAGCAGGCAGATACCAACCCTGGGATGGGGTGGCTCTGCAGCAGGTCCTCAGCTGCACATCCCTCAGCACCCCAGCAGCACTGGGGTCCCACACTCCTTTATCTCTCTTTGGCAGGCAGTTACAGGGATACTTAGCTCCATGAAAAGAAAACAGAACAGTTGAGTTCTTCCCAGTCTCCTCAACTCCTCCATCACTGCAGCACACAGTCCCCACATGCCTGGTGTCAGGGTGAAGTGCAGCAACGCTGACTGCTGCGGGCAGTGTGCTGGACACGCACCCCAGTTACTGTGCTGCACAGGATGGGAGGGAAGGTGAGCAGGCATTTATCATCAGTGCTGAGCAGAAATGGAAGGTGATGGCACAGTCACAAGCTTCAGAGCCCTGCTCCTCATGAAGCTGCTCCAGTCAGTCCTTGCTCTGCACAGGCTCCGGTCCACCGACACGAGCGTTCTCACATCTATCAGAGGAGCAAACGTGGATCATCGCAGTCATACAATGCAGGGAGGAAAAGCAAGATGGCAGTTCCTTAGGTTTGCGTGCTGAATCACATTTTGACTACCCTAAGCTGATTCAGGAGCAGGTCAGTTTTTAACCACAATTCTGCAGAGCTGAGGAAAAGCCAAAGAAGGGTTTGTAACATTCAGACCTGTCACTGCTGCACACAGTCAGTCCTGATCCATCCCCACTCAGCACCAAAGAGCCCTATGCCCTGGCAGCAAAGTGCCTGCACAAACAGCTGCTGTTGTGCTAAGGGCTGGGAGAATTTGCAGGGCTCTAAAGTCATTTCCTCTCCGGAGCAGCCCACGCCAGAAGCCTGCACACATTAGGGGACTGCCACTGAGATTCTCTACCCACTTACAAGCCAGGACAGGGAGAAGCTGAGTGTTCTGCTGTGCCAGTAAGGTCTGAGCACAGAGGGCTGCTCACCCCCCATCCCCCACCGCTCAGCAGCAGCAAGGAAGAGGCTCTGCAGCCCCTGCTGCCAGGGTGACATGCCACCAAGCCGCCATGTGCCAAAAAAAGCTTGAAGTAATTCACAGATGTTTGCAAATTCTTTCTGGCTACAATAATAAACAAGGACTTTGTTTTCATGGAACATGGACTGCTGGATTCAAGCATCAGCCTTCTCACCTCATTCCAAGCAAAAAATGGTTTTAAACAAAAGTTAGCGCATTGGGAATTTGGGCAATGTTTGCTTTTATTATAAATTAAACGGAGCACAGTGCCTTCAGAACCGTCCTGAGAAAGGAGAGCTGACTGCTGATCCTGCAGGAACACCATTAGTTATGTACAGCACTAGCATAGGAAATTGGGGAAAACATCTGCCTCCTGGATGGAGCAATTCATCCCTTGTCCAGGGGCCGGAGCGATGGGTTCAAAGGATACCTCGTGCCTCACCTCATCTTCCCATCACCCAGAATCCTACCAAAATCAGGACTAACAATAGAAAAGTATAATGCTTTGTAATAAGTTAACACATACACTGCTTCGGCTGCATCTCACAAGCTTGTGGTTACAACCAAACATTCACTCCTCCCTTTGAAACCACAAAGATTTCACCCTGGCCGTGCCCACCTAATGCAGGGACCAGGAGGTCACTGGGGCTTTTCACTCCCTAAAGGGCTGTCACTGCTGCCCCTCACTGCTGCACACGGAGGGGAGGAGAGGTCACTGAAGCAGCACCCCATAACAGCCCATTGGGACGATCCCTGGTACGGAAGTGCCCACGAGAAGAGGTGCCTGCTGCCAGTTATGCACAGATGGTTCTGCCTGCTTTGCTTCAGCTGATTTATTCCTGAGAAACTCCTAACAATAGTTTAAAAAACCCAGAAACTATCTTGACAGCAAAAAAAATTTTTTTTTTTTGTTTTTTTTTTTTTTTTTTTTTTTTTAAAAGAAGTCTTTCACCTCTAAAACTCAAGCTGCAAAAAACAGAGCTAGAGGCCAAAACAAGATCAACTACTCTGCTTAATAGCAACAGTTTCTCTGAAGTAAGTAGATGCCAGCAAAAGGAAACATCTGCCCCTGCTAAATAAGTGCCAAGGTGCTAAAAAAAAAAAAAAAAAAAAAAAAAAAATTAAGTCGATAGGCATTTTTTTCTCCCTGCTGAAACAAGCTCTAAAATGAGTATCTTGGAGCTAGCCTCATTAAACATGTCCCCAAACTGTTCTGTTAGCACTGAACACAAGCTTCCTGAAAGCTTTCCACCTGCTTTAGTCACACAGCTGGAGCACTCTGCACTCCTCAGTAAGAACAGCCACAGAGCTGCAGTGAAATCCCTTTTTCTGCACCTGGGATGAGGGAAGACCAAAGAAAGACCACGGTTCAAGCTAAGAGTGGCAAGCAAGGCGCTGCAGGCCCTGCCTTCTTCCCATCGTTTCCATTTCACGATGATTCTCGGCTGCACAGAATGAGGCAAGATGAAAAAGCAGCTGTGGTTCAGCTCCTGTTCTCCACCTGCTCCAGGTGTCACCCAGCAGCTTGGGTCAGTTACATCAAAGCAAGCCCTAAGCAACATAACTTCAGCGAGGAACACTGCACACCTCTCTTCTCCAAACTTACACAACAATGTAGCAAAGAGAACACAATCAAATAATAATGCTTGTAAAATAAATCACATGTATAATCTCACCACTAAAGGAGGATGACAGTGAACGGCATCAAAGAGACAGAGCTGCCACCAGGTATGCAATACATTCCACAGCACCAAGAGTTTGTTTCCTGGAACTGCACGTCACCAGCAGAGAGCTTACAAACCCACCAATGTCAAAACACATCAGCTCAGCGACTGCACAGTGAGATGACTGCTGAGAGCTTACCCTGGGAGCTGGGCTGCCAGTGAAAATCACCAACACAACACACACCAGCTAACAGAATCTATTGCTTAAACCGGTTTTGGAGAAGGAAAAAAAAATAAAAACCAACCCAACAAAAAAGAGCCAAGTGATATGTAAATCTTCCCCACTCACATCTGGCCGGTGAATGGGCTTTTGAAGATGAGTCTCTTTTTGCACATTTTTCCTTTTAAATCAGTCTGTGAGCAGCTGTAGTCTCGTGGCTTGATGCAACTCTTTAAGGCTCCATGCTGACAAAATCGTTTGAGGAACAATAAAAACTTCACCACAGGAGCATCGCTCCGGGATGTCAAGGTTGACGACTGTGGTTCGGGCCGAAGACTTGCACAGATGGTTGTGCAAAATGTGAGCATCCGTATTTCTACCATGTGTCTGTTGTTTTGGCCCTGAGCTGTTTGTTACTCCTGCACGTCTGGCACAAGTTCAGGATTTCCTGTGCTCCTCAAGAGGTACGAGGTGTTGGACTCCTCACAGCGGCTGACGGATCGATCTGCCTACTTCCACGCTAAGTGGCTGTGCACTTTTCTCTGTTTCTAGTAATTCATCGAAGATGTCCCTAAAACACAGAGGAAGAGCAACAGTGAAACTCATGTGCAGCAAGCAACTGCTACGCGAGGCAGCCCCGAGGGAATCAGCAACTGGATTTAATCCACAAAGCTCAAGCGTCACAGCGCTCGGTAGAGAAAGGTGTCTTATCTGGCATTTCTCAGAAAGGCTCCTTAAATCCCCAAGCATTTTCTTTCCATTTGTTACAATGAATAAGACCACTGGTAAGCCCCAGAGAACAGTAACAACAGTTAAAGTAAGTCCAGGCTAGTAATAGGATCTGAAGGAACACAAGACGCAGTCTGCAGAGATAATGTAGTATCTTTTACTACAGGGACCAGAAAACACATACAAAGGGAGCAAACTGAGTTACAAAAGCCCTTCCTCAGTTGTGTGCCTGATAAAGTATTACTTCTATCTACAAATCTCATCTTGCTCATGTCCTGAGATGACCATGGCTGCAGCAACACAACCACTAGAAGCACGGATAAGGGCATTTACAAATCTTACAGCAAGTAAGGACAAAATCCAAACTCCACTGTGATTCTTGGTGCAAATAAGGAACGGCTGAAACACCAAATTCATCTTTTCAAAAGATGATTTAAGGTATCTTGTTAAAATACTGTACGCTAGTGACATGTAATATTAATAATGAACTTATTTCTAATCTGAACTAATTTGTCATTCCTGCGTAACGTTTTGACTAATGTCTTCTGACCCACATACAGAGACACTCCTCACCCCATCAAAGCAGAACAGAGGTCTGCTATCACAAGCAGTACCAGAATGCCCCAGGCCACCTACTTGTGCATGTAGAAGAAGATGTAGCCACTCCGGTCTCTGTCACACTGGACAGTGGCTTCTAAAGTTCTAGACACCTCCAGATCATTGTAGGTGAACCAGGACTGCTTCTTGATATCATAGACATCGCTGATATAGTGACCTTGAAGACACAGAACACTTTTCATGCTGCACTTCAGCCAGTAAGCTGGTTTGCTCAGACAACCCACGTCAGATTTAAAATGCTAAAACATCCCTAAGACCCTGCATGCTCTGCCTTTGCTGGCCAGTGAGCTAGTGATAA